AAGCTGGCAGCAGTGGCAGACAACTAAGTACAATTACATTACATAGAAAAAAAAAAGAAAAAAAAGCATACCCTAACCCTAACCTAGCTATGCTTTTCCCTATCTTATGAACAGCAGCTACACTTTCCCTCCTCTTACTAAGCATGCAGCTTGAGAATGAATCTAAAATGGATGCCTTCCAGGAGGTGGGAGGGTTTGCTAGGGAGGGTGTGCTGCTAATTGGCTGGAATATGTCTGCTGACTGTGAGGTACAGGGTCAAAGTTTACTCAATGATGACGAATAGGGGGCGGGTCGAACCGCGCATATGTTCGCCCGCCGTGGCGAACGCGAACATGCTATGTTCGCCGGGAACCTTTCGCCGGCGAACCGTTCCGTACATCACTATCCCTCAGTTGATAATTAATGAATTAGTGGAATTGCATTATATTATATATTATTAGATACATTGCATTATCTTGAATTATATTAAGTGCATTATATTAAATTAATAGATACAAACAATATACATGAATGGTAGTTCAATTAAAAATTGTTCATACAGTAAACATTGAGATGATCATTAAGATAAATATAGATATAGAAATAATAAAAGACAAGAACTTTACTAAAAGTTCTTTAAAACCAAAAACTAAATAAAGTTCTAATCACACTTCATTACAGAATATTAATTGATTATCTTTGAACTTAATTTCAATAGAACTGTTATTATTTCATATATAAATACTTATGGTGATGTTTTTCTTCCTAATAGACATCACATATAATTCAGGGTGGTCTACACATTGTGTCAATATTACATCCTGTTAACAGAACAATATAACAATTTGTATACATATTGACTCTTCTAGTTTGGTTTGCCACCTCATATAGCTCAGATGTTTGATACAAAACATGTCGTTCCCTAAACACTTGATCGTTTATAATGGAGAAAATTTTTCTTAGATCTCAATATCTATATAGAAGAAGAGAAACTACACACTAAGACCTTCAAAAAGAATGTTGATTGTAATAGCTTCATCCCTTACAACAGCCATCATAGACCTGTATGGCTAAAGAATATTCCTCAAAACCAATTTAGAAGAATCAGACGTAACTGCTCGAAATTGGAAACCTGCAGAGAACAGATGAAGGAGATGAAGAAAAGATTCATCACGAAAGGATATCCTGCAGCTCTTTTGGGAGAGGCTTTGGAGAAAACTCTCATTATACCACGAAAAGACACACTGTGTAACAAAATCAAGTTAGAAAAGTCATACAACAACACTCCAGCTTTTATCACTAAATATAGCAATCAGTCACAGAGATACAAAGAATACTCAGGAAACACTGGGGAATATTGAGAAGTGATACCACTCTAACAAAGTTTATTGAGGATAAACCACAAATCATATTTACCAGAGTACCCAATTTTAAGTTAATGCTAGCTCCCACTATGAGATCCGAGAACGTTAAAAGAGAACAAGGAAATATAAAAGGTTTCTCGAGATGTCAGAAATGTATTGGATGTAGGAATAACCCCATGGCAGAAGCAACAAGTACTAAATTTATTTCATTTCATGATTTGAAAGAATATAAAATAAGGACAAATATGAACTGTGACACTTTAGGAGTGATATACCTCATCACATGTCCGTGCTAAAAATATTATGTTGGACGGACCAAAAGACCTCTAAAAACTAGAATTGCAGAACATATTCGAAACATTAAGAAAGGCCTACTAACTCACAACCTATCTAAACATTTTAAACATAGAAACATAGAATGTGACGGCAGATAAGAACCATTCGGCCCATCTAGTCTGGCCAATTTTCTAAATACTTTCATTAGTCCCTAGTCTTATCTTATAGTTAGGATAGCCTTATGCCTATCCCACGCATGCTTAAACTCCTTTACTGTGTTAACCTCTACCACTTCAGCTGGAAGGCTATTCCATGCATCCACTACCCTCTCAGTAAAGTAATACTTCCTGATATTATTTTTAAACCTTTGTCCTCTAATTTAAGACTATGTCCTCTTGTTGTGGTAGTTTTTCTTCTTTTAAATATAGTCTCCTCCTTTACTGTGTTGATTCCCTTTTATATATTTAAATGTTTCTATCATATCCCCCCTGTCTCGTCTTTCCTCCAAGCTATACATGTTAAGATCCTTTAACCTTTCCTGGTAAGTTTTATCCCGCAATCCATGGACCAGTTTAGTAGCCCTTCTCTGAACCCTCTCTAAGGTATCAATATCCTTCTGAAGATACGGTCTCCAGTGCTGTGTACAATACTCCAAGTGAGGTCTCACCAGTGTTCTGTACAATGGCATGAGCACTTCCCTCTTTCTACTGTTTATACCTCTCCCTATACAACCAAGCATTCTGCTAGCATTTCCTGCTGCTCTATTACATTGTCTGCCTACCTTTAAGTCATCAGAAATAATCACCCCTAAATCCCTTTCCTCATATGTTGAGGTTAGGACTCTATCAAATATTCTGTACTCTGCCCTTGGGTTTTTACGCCCAAGATGCATTATCTTGCACTTACCCACATTAAATGTCAGTTGCCACAATTCTGACCATTTTTCTAGTTTACCTAAATCATTTGTCATTTGGCTTATCCCTCCTGGAACATCAACCCTGTTACATATCTTAGTATCATCAGCAAAAAGACATACCTTACCATCAAGACCTTCTGCAATATCACTAATAAAAATATTAAAGAGATACATGGTGCAGACCCAACAGGACTGACATTTAAAGCCATAGAAAAAGTGAATGTACACTGGAGAGGAGGAAGTATAGATATTGACCTTGATCAGGCTGAAACAAAATGGATATTTTCTCTTAACACTTTAGTTCCACATGGTCTTAATGTAGATTTTGAGTTAAACACATTTTTATAGGACTTTTAACAATTGGATGTCTATTTACACTCATAGATGTAACCTTTCCTCTTAAATATATATTTTTTATCATTACCAGCATTATGGTTTTTTTTTGAAAGTAGAGCTATTTTAGTTCACTACATATGACTCATTTTATTCTTCTATTCTTCTATGTTTCTTTTATGTTTCCATGACAGAATAGATTTTTACATATTAGACCTTCCATATTTTATCAATTTTTTAAATCTTTTATATTTTATATTTTCCTTTTAATTTTAAAATACCTTTTTTTATGGGTATATAACGCCTAGTGTTTATGATAGACATTTTTTCTTAGAGTATAAACAATAACCAGTTCCTAGATATAAGACTCACATTGTGGTCTAACTTTTATAAACAGATGCTAAAGGAGTAGCTTTTTAAATATGTTCCAATATGTTTTAACGTGTATACTAATATTCTTGTCTCTTTACAGAAAACAGAATAAAACAAAATGGAGCAATTTTTCTCCATTATAAACGATCAAGTGTTTAGGGAACGACATGTTTTATATCAAACAACTGAGATATATGAGGTGGCAAACCAAACTAGATGAGTCAATATGTATACAAATTGTTTTATTGTTCTGTTAACAGGATGTAATATTGACACAATGTGTAGACCACCCTGAATTATATGTGATGTCTTTTAGGAAGTAAAAAAGTAAAACTACCATTCATGTATATTGTTTGTATCTATTCATTTAATATAATGCGCTTAATATAATTCAAGATAATGCAATGTATCTAATAATATCTACTATAATGCAATGCATCCACTAATTAATTAATTATCAACTGAGGGATATATAAGCACTCTCATAGGGAGGCTAATACAGATGTCTCTGAGGAAGTAGGGCTATCCACTACGAAACGCGTCATGCAAGTTCAAGGCTAGTTCACAGAATGTCCACACA